CTGCGCTTGGATTTTCCTCTGCAAAAGTGCATATCCCCTTCCCTTCTGCAAAATTACTTGCTAGGGTTTTCGATTTCTCTTCCAAATTCTTCACACACAAAAAAAACCCTCGTTTTGGTTCATCTTCAATGGATTCTCGAGATTCCGTATCATCCGACTCCACTGCTAGAGACGACGACTCCGTCGTTCTCTCTGTCACCTCCGCACTCGCCAAGGACGCTCTCTCTTACTTTCAGTCTGCCAAGTTCGCCGAATGCATCGACATTCTCAATCAGCTCAATCACATGAAACCTCAAGATCCCAAGGTCACTCCCTTTCCAGATCGAAACTAACAAAAAGAGTTCATTTTTTTTCATTAGATCTGACCGTCTTCTAAGTATATTGATTTAGTTTCTGCTTTAGTGCTTTACTCAATTGCCAAGTAGAGATATGCTTTGATAGCTGAGCAAACCCACCGAATCACATGAATCTTGAATAAACCTTAGGGATTTTGGTCTACCAAACATATGATTATGAGATACTTTCACTTGTATAGGTTTGAATGTTTATATTATTGCAATCATGTAGCACAGTATCATTTTTATTTCGAAAAATTATGTCTTTGAATTGTTTTTTTAATTTGATCAAACAGATTCTTCACAATATGGCAATTGCCGAATACTTCAAGGATGGTTGCTCCAATGCCAAGAAACTGCTGGAATCGCTTAACTATGTCAAGGTATTGTGTTTAAACGTATATTCCGATTCTCTGCTCTGTTTGTTTGGCATTGTAGAAAGAAACATAGTGGAGAGAGCAATGTTATTTGTAGTCTTTATGTATTAATCTCTATATTAACTGGTTTCTTCTTCTCTTTGATTTCTTCAGAAACTGAGTGAAGAACTTGCTGCTGCAGCAAAAGAACAAGTGGAAGCTGCAAATCCTGGAACTAACGTATCTGTGTCAAAGGATCAGTTTGATAGTACAGTAACAACTCTTAATATTGTATGTTCTGATGTATTCCCATGTATTATATGAGTCTCAACTATGCCGTTCGCATTTGTCAAAGTCAAGGTTAAGTATTGATGTTCATTGGTCTCCTGCAGGCGGTTATCTGGTATCATCTGCATGAGTATACAAAAACTTTATCCATTCTAGAACCTTTGTATCAAAATATTGAGCCGCTAGACCAGGTATTGTATTCATCTTGCTTCGTTGTATTTTGTTTAATCAGTCCTATTGGCTCTAATTAGCAACTTGCTATTTATATGCAGACAATTGCGCTTCAGATCTGCTTCTTGTTGCTGGATACTGTGCGGCCTTGTCGTGATGCTGTGAAATTTTTTGTAAGTATTTTTGGATACTGGTCTCAAAAGTCTTAAAATATAGCTCAGCTAATGTCTTTTGCTAGTGGAAAATTCAACCAATATCCATGGGCTGTTTTGTGTAGTCTTAGAAATGCAAAAACTAATTGTTTTTTGTATTCTTTTCTTCTTTTTGCCTTTGTCTCTGAAGTTTAAACATGTCTGCAAGATTCTATCCATCGTCTTTCTACATAATTCCAAAACAGAGTCGCTGTTTTCGTATGTTTCCACTTCTTTCTTGTTTTTTTAGATCAATTTCTCTTTCAATGGAAGGTTGTCTTAGTATGGATGCACAATCATAAATCTCTTTTCTTGCTGATTACCCTCCCGTCACGAATAACAAATATGCTATATCTATAACCTGCCTGTTATGAAATGCCATGCGTAATAGGAAATCTGCTGGTGTCCAAATTTGTATACTAGAATACAAGGTAGTCGGTGACAGAAAGTTTTTCTTAGCTATAATCTGATGGGATGTTTGGACTTTTAGTCCAATGTGAGTGACCAGATATTCAATTGAATGATATACTGTAGCATCCTTGAATGAATATATGCATTGATCAGTTAATATTCTCATCGCATGAAGTAGACGTTTTCTTCTTTCTGTATCTTACAAGTATTCTCTTACAGACTGTATTTGACTATATGGAAAAAGCTTTTGGTGGTGGTTTTGGAAGTCAAGAAGAAAATGGAAGCACAATGCAACTTTCTTCAAATCAGGTATCAAAAACATCCTCTCTTCTGAGCAGCTCGGTTGCCTCAGATACTTTGCAGTCGGATTTAACAGCCGCTGAAAGTAGTTTGTGTGAGGAAACCCTAGACTATGACAATGTTCTAGCGGAAATTGCGGCGGAGAAACGAATGAAGTCTGTTGGCCCTATTCCAGCAAACAATCTGCTCAAGACATTAAGTGAAAGGTCGATCTTGAGTGTTGATCTGAAGCTTGAGTTGCTGCTTTACAAGGTCCGATTCTTGCTTCTTACCAGAAACTTGAAACTGGCGAAGCGTGAAGTTAAACATGCAATGAACATTGCTCAAAAAAGGGACTCCTCTATGGCTCTCCACTTGAAATCTCAGCTTGAGTATGCTCATGGGAATCATCGAAAGGCGATAAAGCTTTTGCTGGTCTCTGGTATTCAGAAAGATGCAGGGACTTCAGGAATCTTCAACAACAACCTTGGTTGCATTTACTATCAGCTTGGAAAATACCAAACTTCTGCTGCATTATTTTCAAAAGCTCTAAGGAGCTGTTCATCACTTAGAAAGGAGAAACCGGTGAAGTTGTTTTCTCTCTCACAGGATAAGTCTTTGTTGATCACATACAACTGCGGTGTGCTTTATTTGGATTCTGGGAAGCCTATACTTGCTGCTCATTGTTTCCAGAAGGCAAGTCTAGTTTTCTGCAGACAACCCCTTATTTGGCTGCGTATTGCTGAATGCTGTTTGATGGCTTTTCAAAAGGGTCTTTTGGAAGAGGGAAACACTTCTTCGGATAGATCAGAAGTCAAAGTCCATGTGATTGGGAAAGGGAAGTGGAGACAGCTTCTGATAGAAGAAAATGGATCCGTGGAACTTGCTGTCAGTGCCAAATGGCCAAAGCTTTCGTTACCACTAGCACGGGTCTGTCTCTCAAACGGTATATATTTGCTCAGCGGGTCTCTCTTAAATGGCTCTAAATCAGATCTTCAGTCGACATTATCCTTGGAAATGAAAGAGACCAAAGAAGCATCATCCTCTGATCATGGGGAAGCTAACACGAACTCAGACTTAAAAGAGACAAAAGGAGGAATGAACCAGGCCATCATTCAAAACTCCCTCTCAGCTTTCAAGGATATCAATTCTAGAGAAAATCAGTTGCTCAAACAAGCTCTTCTTGCCAATATGGCATACGTAGAATTGGAATTGGAGAATCCTGTCAAAGCTTTGTCAGCTGCTAATTCACTCTTGCAACTTCCGAATTGTTCGAGGATTTATGTTTACTTAGGCCATATTTATGCAGCAGAGGCTCTCTGCTTGCTCAACAGACCTGTTGAAGCTGGTGCGCATTTATCTCCCTATCTACTTGGACAGGATGATTTTAAACTGCCGTTTGTGCAAGAAGACTTTGACCAATGGCGGGTGAACATAAGTTTCGATTGTGAAGAGACATGGGATTCTTCCACAGGAAATGCCCGGGATTCTGTTCCCCTTAAGCCGGAAGAATCTCGTGGAGCACTTTTTGTAGACCTTGCCGCTCTGCTTGCCACTCAAGGACATTATGACCAGGCCAAACCTTTGATAACACACGCATTAACTATCTTACAGAACAATGTACAAGCTATGGTTACAGCTGTTTACATTGATCTGATGTTGGGTAGACCACAAGATGCTCTTGCTCGGTTAAAGCAGTGTTCCCGCGTGAGCTTTGTTCCAGGCAGATTGGACGTGAGAGCCTCGTAGATGATTTGTACTCTGATCCCTTATTTGCTGTTTTTGGAAATCAAGCTTTAGAAATTAGTTCCTTTTTATAAATATCAGAGAAAATAAGTTAAAAGTTTTGTACAATTTTTTCTTTCTTTTCTTGTATCGGTGCTGTGAGATGATATTAGCATTCTTGATTTAGATTTGGGTCGTAGAGGGCTAATCGATTTCTTGTTCAGTAACAACATAAGGTTGTGAGAACCGAAGAAATGATTTTGTACTTTTGTTTAAATCTGTTTCAGAGCAGACCCTTTGAATTCATTTTTTCTTGTAGGGTTTTTATTTGATCTTCCTTGTCCGCTCCGAGCTTTTAACTATCTTTCTAGTTAGTAGTTAGATTGTTGTTAAAACTGTTTTAGATTTTTTCTTTTTTTTTTTACAATAATATTTTTGTCATTAATTTAACATGTAAACAAATTAATAAGTTTTGGTAAAACAATTTATGTGTATTAATGGACTGAAAATGTAAAGAAAATTTTGGAGATACAATTCGCGATGGGTGTAGAAATTAGTATGTACTGAAAAATTGGATTCGTTCATTCTGAAAAAGGTTATATCCTCTTGTATCTGGATTCTGATATTGATATGATATGAATTATTACCTTCATAGTACGTTTTTTTTTTCTTTCTCTATTGCTTGTCAGAATATAATCTCTTTCTTCTTCCATTACTCAACAAGAGTTTATAAAAATTAATTTAATTGACTATATCTTATAAGCATACATTTGTAGTTGCTTATAATAATTCATAGATGAAAATAAGTAAATCACCTTTAAGAATGATTGCACAGAGTTGATTTGATTAAAAGTACGCAGTCGCTTGACAAGAGGCTCACTTTCTCTAATCATCTTGATGGTTCTTAATTTCTTTCTTTCCTGTATTCCCTATTTTTCGAATGTAAAGACAAGAATGTTTAACCCATGATTCTAGAGTTAAATTTGTTGATGTTATTTTTCCTACATTTCTAGGTTGGACAACTAATCTAGAGGATTTATTTTAATGAGTAATTGGCATCAATAACCCTAAGAAAAATTCTATCTAAAATCCTAACCAAATACCCTAAATCTAATGGTCATTATTTGACCACATATATCAATTTTGGTTACTTAGTTGATTATTAATTTTTTTTGGTTATTAAGCAAATTTATCCTATTTTAATCAATGTGTGATTGTTAAAAAAATACCCAAAATTCCATATTCCACAAATTTTATATTTCGTGCTGGGATATAACAATCCGGTTCCTAGTTTACACTATGGGTCCGAATGGTGACATTGAATTGTGCGGAGGAAAAAAAAATTGCGTAATGTAGTTCAGTGTAAATGCGGTTCGTGCAGGATAATGCGGTATGCGGAACTACTGTGGTTTTGTAAAAAAAACAGGACAAAAACAAAATTTGATTGGTAAAATATATTATACTGCGCAAAACAACTATTTGGATAATTTATCTAATAATTGGAGTAACCAAAACAATTTTTTTCTTTAGATAGTATTAGATTTTAGTGATATATTTGACGCATATTTTTTTCAAAATTTTTAAAATAAAAAATGAGTAAAAAGCGCACTTGTATATGTTATACGGACGGGAAAAGGTGAGTGTCAAATATTATTGTGAGTTTCTTTAGATTTGTTCATGCACTTTTATCAAAGACGATACAACATTTCTTTTTAATTTTTAATCATAATACGCTTATACTACAATTTTAATGAAATGCGGTCACGGAAAACTACACCAAAAATCCATGAGATTCTTCAAATTTATATAATTAAAAAAAAAAAAAACATTCACACAAACACAAAACACACGACATCAATTAAGGTAACAAGAACATGTATAAGCATAACTCTCCAACTTTTTTTTTTTTTTTTACGAGTTAAACAAGGCAGCACTAGAGAAATAAATTATTAAACACAAACCAGAAAAACTAACCACCATCAAAAACGTGATAAACCCAATACTTTAGAATCATCTTCAATCAGTTATACTATGCCAAATAACAGCTTCATACTTTTTCAACCTCACATTAAAAGCAAAGACTATCTACGTTGTTTGAAGGAGAAGATGATGGAAAAACAATTATCAATGAAAGTTATTTTTGGAAATTCTCTATAATAGCATATAGTATTAACTTAAAAAGAGAATTTTTTTAAAAACAAAATCATTAATAATCAAATGGCAATTCATTAGAATCCATAAAGAATGTTTGATAAGGTTTTTGAAATTTGTTAATTTCTTTAAGATTTATAAAACCTCTCAACTTTTAGAAATTTCTAAAATCTATGCAAATCCATCTCCCAATAACACCTCCTTAAAATATAAGTTAACTAAACTTCCAACAAATTGAAAGAATCTCATACAATGTCATATTTATGAATTAGGATGTTTATTTATGCATGATCTTTCATCTTCGTTTAGTTGGTTGGATATGTAAATATGAAAGGAACCACATTAATTATACCCAAATGCATTCTTAAGTTTGAAAGAACCTAAAGCTTCAATTCCAAGTTTAGAATTGAAATATAATTACGAATGAGAATATTTTTGATAGAAGTGTTATAGATGTATATAAGTTGTGAAAAGCAATTAAAGAGTGGACTGAAACTTTTGAATCTTTGGAAATTTCGTCCCAAGGCAACAATATTGAATTAGTATATGAAACCTTGTCTAGAAACATTACTTTTGAATTCGTAAGACTTCGTCCGGAAGTGATTCACATCATTAAACGTGAGAACATGCTCTATTCAAAACTAGTTAAAAATAAATGAACATATTTTTTCGAATTTTTATATATAATATATTTTTATTTCGATATGCTATATTATTATGGCTTTTAAAAAGTTTCAGAAATTTATTTTCGATATGATATAAAAAAAATTTCAAACTAATTAAAAAAATAAAATTTTATATGTTAATATTAGAATATTTTTATCATCTCTAAATAATAATTTTTGATCTATATATTTTGAACTAAATCTCATTTTCCTCATTTTTTTCAATAGATAATTTCTTTTTATCCATTTAAGTTTGTTAAAATATGATATGATGTTATGATTCATAATTTTCCAATTTGAGGATATTTATTTATCATTATAAGTCTATATAAAAATATTTTAAAAAGTTGAAGATATAAGAAAAAAATACGTGTACGGTAGGGGATCTCTTGGCGCGGGGAAAAGAACCTAGAAGTTTCAACCCCTACACGTGGCTCTTTATCCTTCCACTTCTCTCTCTCTCTTCTCGAGGTCTCAAAAGTCGTTTATTTTTTTAAAATCTCCAAATGCAGAAAGAATAATGTTCCATTAATTTCATTCCCAAGGGCAAACATTGGTCCAAAACAAATATATCATTAATTAATGAAAAAGTATCATTTAATTTAGTTTATTAACCGTGACAACAAAAAAAATTTAGTTTATTAACCCTTGCCAAAAATGACCCATGAGATTTTCTTCTCATCTTTCTTTAATAACTTGCCAACTTTATTTTGCTCAGATTTTTGCAAGTCTCCAATTTTGGTCTTAATGAAAATGAATATTTTGTGTGACAGCTAACAAAAAAATTTAAGATAAGTAAGAAATTAAATTTTGATCCAAAAAAAAGAAGTAAGAATTTTTTTTTTTTTTTGGCGTGAAGTAAGAAATTAAACAGGTTAATACATTTTTGGTCATTTTTTCCTTTAACCCTTTATTTTCCGCTTTAAAGCAATTAATCAGAAAAAATAAAACAGTGTTTTCGGTTTCTCTCGCTACAAGCTTTCTCTGCAATCTAATCCCTCCCTC